ATTTTACACAACGTTAAAAGGGGGCCCTCTTCCACACTTTGAAACGTTTTTTTTCTATTCTTTCTTTCTGTTTTTTTTTTTTAATATTTTTTTTATAATCGTTGTTAGTAGTTCTCGTGGTGGTGGTGTTCTCGGAGTGTAATTTTGTAACTCTTTTAATTTATATACATATATATTTTTTTACGGTTTATTATTATTATTATTATTTAAATCGTTTTATTAAAATAAACATTTTAGTTTTTTTTTTTTTTTTTTTTTTTTTATTTCAAATGTTTCACTTATATTATTATTTATTTTTTAATTTATTTTATGTTTTCGTCAATGGAATAATTTAAAGAGAAGAAGGAAGAAGAGGAAGAAGGAGAAAGAAGGAGAAAGAAGAAGGAGAGGAAGAAACAAATCAGAAAATTTTTTAAAAATTAATAATAATAATAATTCGAGTGATAAAAGGTAAGTGAAAACATTCTTTTTTTTTAAATTTTTTAAATAATAATAATAATGACTTATTTTTGAGGGAGGAAGGGGTGGAGGGTGGGGGTTTGGGGGACACATCGACGACGACAACAACAAACAAAAAATTTTCACAAACTTTAAACGACAAATCATCTTCATTTATTACTAACAATATTATTTTGTTAGTAGTTTTATCGAAAAAAGATTATCATTATCATCATCATCATCATCATCATCATCATCATTATTATTATTATTATTATTATTTTTATTACTATTATTATTTAACTTAATTTCAATTAGGTTTTTTTTTTTTTTTTTTCTATGACAACGTCATAAATAATTTTAATGCGAAAGTGAATTTTAATTTTTAAAATAATTTCCGAGCACGACTAAACGATGGCAAAATTATTGACCTTTTTTCTCCCCTTTACCCCTTTACGTTCGGTCCTTTTTCTTCTGGTTCTTTTAATGATGATGATGATGATGATGATGATGTGAAGAAAAAAGAAAAAAATTAAAGAGAAAGAAGAGAATGAAAATTTTAAATTGCGTAACGTTGCGTAGTTTTAATTTTTTTTTCTCTAAAAAAAAAAAAAAAAAAAATTAAAAAAAAAACTTTCTCTATTTGAAACGCGTTTATTATTGTCATGTTGTCACACCTGTCTGTCTTATTTTCTAACCTGAGTTTTTATTAAATTTTTTTTTAAACGTGGCATTAACCAGAATTAAATAGAAATCGACAATTTTAAGATTTTTTTTTTTTTTTTTTTTTTTCGTTTTAGTCAAATTATTCGCAATGATAATAATAATAATAATAATAATAATAATAATAATAATAATAATGATAATGATACCGAAGTAAAAAAATTTTCTTTTTGGAAAATTTAATGAGGAAGGAAAAGTAAAAGGATTTTATTTAATAAATAAATAAAAATTTTAATTATAATTTCAGTTAAACGAATAAAAATTTCGAAAAAAAAGGATAGAGAGATAAAAATAGAAAGAGAGAAAGAGAGAGAGAGAGAGAGAGAGAGAGAGAGAGAAAAGGATAGAAAAAAAAACCAGATCGAAACCTTGACAGTTTGTTGTTGTTGTTGTTGTTACACGAGAAAATGAACCGTGTAAAATAAATTAAATGAAAACCTGAGTTGGAAAAACCTTAAATAGATTTAACGAGAGAAAATTTTTTTTCTTTCTTTTTCTTTTTCATACTCACACGTTCGGGAATAGAAAATTCTGGAAAAATTTAATAAACAAACCAAAAAAAAAAAAAAGGTAAATAATTTATTATTTTTATAAAAATTTCATTATTATTATTATTATTTGTTTGTTTGTTTGTTTGTTTGTTTGTTTAGTTGTTTGACTTTTTAATACGTTACGAAATGATTATTGTTGTTTGTTCCCCCCCCCACACCCGTCCCCCGCGCGTAAACTAGTTCACCCGATTAAAATATTTCAAAAACAATTTGTAATGTTAAATTGATAGTAATAATAATAATAATAATGAGTAATAATTTTTTGGGGTCAATTTTTTCTTTTGGAGGGAAAGGGGAGGGAGGGGGAGGGGGAAGGTTTGATCATGGAAATTTATGGCATTTTTTAAAAAAAAAAAAAATTTTTTTTTAATGTAAATCAATCACCTGATTAAACGAAAACGTTTTGTTCGCCTCGTTTTATTTTATTTTATTTTTTTTTTTCCATTCGATTGTTTCGCATTAATTATTATTATTATTATTATCATTATTTTTTTTAATAATCTTATAAGTTACGCACGTTTACACGTGCGTGCGTGCGTTTGTGTTTGTTTATTTTCCAAATTTGGTTGTCGCGTTTAAAAGTTAATAAAAAATTCTCGACTCGTTTCTCAATTTCGTTTTCTTCTCTTCTCCTCCTTTTTTATTATTTATTTATTTATTAATTTATGCAATAGCGAGATTAATTTATTTATTACTTAATAATAATAATAATAATAATAATAATAATTTTTTTCACGCGAATAATTAGTTATTGATTTATTATCATTATTATCGTTACGATTAGGTTTTATCGAGACAACAAAAAAAAACAATTTGTCATAGAGTTGAATAAATAAATAAATGTCATAGAGTGTTAAAATTATTATTATAATTATTATTATTGTTAATATTATTATTATTATTATTATTATTTTAATTAATAATTACGTTAGAAATTTCCTTTTTTGTTTTATTTACACGCGTACGCACGCACGCACGCACGCACGCACTAAAAAATTTAATATTTAAAATCAGTCAGTCAGGTTTAAAAAAAAAAAAAATAGTACATTGAACCTTCGACCTGTTTGATTATTATTATTATTTTGTGCGTGACTTTTTTTCTATATCCATTATGAAATTTTATATTTATTTATTATTTGTATAGCATTTTAATATCGTATTCGTTCAACTCTCCTCAATCTCTATCTCTCTCTCTCTCTCTCTCTCTCTTTCCTTTTCCCCCCGTCTCCCCAACCACATTTTAAACAATTAATAAATCCTTTTATTAATTATTTAAAAAAAAAAAAAAAAAAAAAACATCCTGCGAATCTTTTGCGACGTATTTACAATCGCGAGAGAAACACAAAACAAGTAGCAGTAAAAAACACAAATTTTTCTCATTCATTTAAAAAAAAAAAAAAAAAAAAAACTCGTCAAATATATATAAAATTATAATTTTAACCGTGGGGGTACCGTGGGGAGGCGGTGGGGAGGGCAGAGTGGGGCGTTGCTGAAAAGGGTGTTACATTGCTTTGGGACATGTATATACATACACACAAACGATTTCTTTAAATAATTTATTTATAATTTTCATTTTGAAAATGTTTTTAAATTGGAAATTTTTATCATTATTATTATCATTATTATTATTATTATTATTATTATTATTAAAATGCGTTATTACGTGTAAAAAA